ACTCCAAAATTTAATTTTTGTGCTTTTGCGATTCCGTCAACATAAGTACGCCGTCTCCGCGGATATAGAGGGTATGTTCCTCCAGGTAGGAGTCCTTGCCCGCGATCAAGTTTCGCTCCGTTTTTTGTGGCGGGAGGATACCACTTCCGATGTGGTAGTTCATCAGTACACTCGCCATATATTCGGCGCACGGGATTCGCCTACGTGCGCCAATTTCGCGTAGCGAAAAACAGCAACTGATAATATGTCCACATACCCTGAGGCCGCCTCAGTCGTAAATGAAAAATTTTACATGGACGATTACTTGGATTCATTCGAGAACGTTACCCAAGCAATTAAAACTAGTCGCGATTTGGTTTCCTTACTTAAATTAGGAGGATTTAATTTGACTAAATTTGTCAGTAATGCTGATGAAATCACTTCAGCAATGAACCCCGAGGAATCCGAAACCTCGTTTTCACCCATCAAGGAAATTTGTAACGGTGCCGAACAATCATCACACGTCTTAGGTCTTAAGTGGGACCATGTGAAAGACACATTGGTTGTTAGCAGAGGCGTGGATCGTCCTCTCGATAAAGCAATAACTCAACGAACCGTCTTGAGTTTCGTCTCTTCTGTGTTTGACCCTGTTGGGTTAGTAGCTCCATACACAGTTAGGGCCCGTCTTTTACTGAAAGATATTTGGAAAATCAGTGGTCAAAGTTGGGACGACGAACTGCCAGAAGACATAAGAGATAAGTTTCTCGAGTGGCACTCCGGTCTCCCTCTCTTAGGGCAATTGACTATTCCCCGTTGTTACTTCACAGAGCCTGTTGATCAAATTGAGCTCCACATGTTCGGTGATAGCTCGCAGGACGTTTTCTGCGCTGTTGGATTTTTGCGTGCGCGACTCGCGAGCTCGCATAAAACTGAAATATCCTTCATCTTTGGTAAAGCTCGCGTTGCGCCCATGAAAGCGCTATCTATACCGAAGCTAGAGCTTCAAGCTGCTCTGCTCGCCACACGACTAAAAGATGATATACTGACCGCCCTTACCGTCTCTATTAATCATGTCTTTATGTGGACAGATAGTACAACAGTTTTGCAGTGGCTAAACTCCACTGAAAAATTACCTGTATTCGTCGCTAATCGTGTCGGCGAAATCCTCGAGTCGACCACTATTGATGAGTGGCACCATGTTCTGAGCGGCGATAATCCAGCTGATACCGGTACGCGGGGGATTTCTTCGGAAGCCCTCAAGGATAGCAGCTGGGTTATTGGTCCGAGCATTCTCAGGACTACTGATTGGCCGTTTATACCCGACGAACGTGTAATCAATAAAATTCGTTTGAAGGGTCCTTCTTGTGATGTTGATAATTGCTTGGAGACATCATCTTCCTTCGTCACCGATGTCACATCCATCAAACATCCCGAACACGGGTTCAATTGGGAAAGGTTCAGTTCCTTTACAAGATATAAACGAGTAGTCGCTTTTATGTTGAGGATGTTGCCTTCACATAAGCATTTTCGTGGTAAGGACTTACGAATCACCGACCCCACTGAACTTGATATTGCAGAAAGCAAACTGATTCATCTTGCTCAGATGGAATCCTTTCCCGTTGAGTTAAAAACACTCACCGCTGGCAAACCTATTAAGAGTAGTAGTAAAATTGCCACATACTCGCCATTTATCGGTCCCGCTGGAATCATTCGTTCCACCGGACGGATTGTGCGCTTAGTGAATACCGAGTTTGATACTAAGCACCCAATAATACTCGACGCCCGACATACCTTAGTTCGTTTGTTGGCCCGCAGCCTCCACCATAAGCATTTTCATCAAGGATTAGATTACATGCGCTCCATTTTAAATATGAAATATGCAATACTTGGGTTGCGTCGACTACTGCGGTCTATCGAAAATCAATGTGTAACAGGCCGTAAACGCAAAGCAAGCACCATCCAGCCAATTATGTCCGATTTACCGGTCGAACGTCTCGGATACAAGCAACCACCCTTCAATCATACGGGTGTGGATTACTTTGGACCGCTTTACGTTCCGGTTCGCAGAAGCACGGAAAAAAGATGGGGATTTCTTTTTACTTGCCTCACCACCAGGGCTGTACACCTTGAGATTGTACCGTCTCTGGACACCAGTTCCTGTGTCATGGGCATTGAACGGTTCGTTGCGCGCCGTGGTACGCCAAGCACAATCTGGTCGGATAATGGCACGAACTTCGTTGGTGCGGAAAAGGAATTACTTGCCTGCATCAAGAGCTGGAATGGCATGGCTCCGACCATTTTTGCACACAAAGGTGTTACTTGGAAATTTAACCCGCCAGGCGCACCCCATCATGGCGGCTCCTGGGAACGCCTCGTCCGAAGCGTGAAGCGCGTGCTGTACGATATCCTAGACAGTAGGCGAGTCACTAAAGAGGTGTTAGGAACAACACTCTGCTTAGTTGAACAGGCTTTGATTTCGAGGCCAATCACTCCCGTTAGTACCGATTCACGTGAGTTAGAAGCGTTAACCCCAAACCATTTTTTGCTTGGACAACATGCCACAAGCTTTCCTTCGCTTTTACCCGGGGAGCACTTCGATCACAAGAAAAGGTACGTGCGAGCGCAGTCATATGCTAACGCGATTTGGTCTCGTTGGCTTCGAGAATATGTTCCCTCGCTGAATAAGCGTGTCAAGTGGCACACTCATTCTGACTTCACTCTTAAAACAGGCGATCTCGTGTGGGTGATTGAGCCCGATAGTCCGCGTGGGTACTACCCTCTCGCCCGAATCGTCAAGCTAAACTATGGACAGGACGGTTGCGCCCGATCCGCCCTTGTCAGGACCGCAACCCGTGAAGTCACAAGGCCGACCGTTAAGCTCGCTCCGGTTCTTCCTTCTTCAGGGGGGGAGTATGTTGCAATGCAAATGTAGAGTATAGATGCATATAAAACAATAGTATAAATGCATAAAACTGAACCAAAATGTAACAACAATAAGCGCAGTTGGCCGAGTGGCCTAAGCTACAATAACGCCCACTATATAGACTCTACAGTTGACGTAGGTTCGAGTCCCCCACCTGCCCATGTATTAATATACTAAAAAAGGGGGTTATATCCTATTTTAACTGTTTTGTTGATTCTAATTTGGTTCAACCTTGATTAAGGCTGACCGCTAAAAAAGAGCAATTTGTCTCAAGGACATTACCGACCGGTTCTTGTGGCTAGCTTGCACCAATTTGTTTATTGAAACTGTGGATTGTTGAAATTATGAAAGTGAGTTGTGTGAAATGTTGGCTTTTATAAAATTAGTCACGATGAATGTATGTATTGCCGAGAATACTACGAGTTAAAACAATTATTTGCCGAGCCGTTTTATACAGTTTTGGAGATTGGAGCGCACAGTTCTGAAAGCGCGCAACACATCAAAATTGAATATTGACTGCTCAAAATTGAATTATTCTCTGAGATTCGTTATTTTTAAATATTCAATTCTGATTGGATTTCCATCATTCTTGCATCATAAGAGACTCCACCTTCAGTTGCTAGTGACTGAGTTTTTAAAGCATTTCCATTTCATTAATCCGTGTGAAACCTTGTTTTGAAAAATATTTCGGCAATCTTGTACTTCAGCACTTTTGTGTACCTTTGTTTTTAATTTTCGGTACATTGTGAAAAAAAATCAAGAAAGAACGACAAACTTGTTTCGATCAAACAAAGAAAACAAACAAACAAACTACATGCAAACAAAAATTTTTTTTTAATGAATTTCTATTCAGCGAAATAATTAGCGTAAAACAAAATTACACAGAGGCGAAGCTTCGCTACGAAAAACAAGCGAGAACACGACAAAAAGCAGCTTTATGAAGTGCAATGAGAAAAAGTTGACATAAGCCTCGAATTAGTAAAAATTCGGCTACGTCTCAGATTCGATCTGCGACCTAACGATTATGAGTCTCACGCACTAACCACTCAGCCACGGAAATTTAATAAAACACAAACACAAGCCACCAAAAAAGCAGAGAACTATGAACTTCAGAGAAGCTGTGAAATTTACAATGCTACAGACCGTGATTATAGCAAAATTTCCATCAAATAAGTGAACACTTTTAATGAACACTTTTATTTGCTAGTTAGGTTAGAAAAAAGGTTCACACTGATACTTCGCTCGCAAGCTCGCTAGTGTCAAAGTTTAAATTTACACAGTGAAAAAGCCTTTCATAAATTTCGTAGGTTTGTCTCAATTTGCATCAATTAATTTTGAAAAACATACCAATTAAGATAACTACCTGTATTATATTACCCAGCGTTATTGAAGCCGGAATTAAACGAGCTTACACAGTTGGACCAGAAACTAAGACGAAACATTACATAACGAATACAGCAAAAAAAAAAAAATAAATTTAAAACTCAACTAGACCAAATCAGAGTTAGTAAATAGTAAACCAACATTGGAAACTAATTTTAACCCAATTGCCAAGCTGCACTTTGCAAAAAAAAATAACAACTGATAAACCGGTAAAAAGTAACTTTCTCCGCTAAAAAAACAGCGAAAATGTTTAAAAAAGTGAAATATGGAAAAAAGATCAGGTAAAATAAGCCTTGAACAGTTAAATTATTGCTATGCGCGGGAATCAAAGCCCCGACCTGGCGCTTACAAATCGCACGTCCGTGCATCTGCGCCACGTTCGATGCACATAGTAAAACACTAGCCACCATATAGCAGATAGATTACCTGCTATTAAATTGCAAATTCTATGCAGCACAAGTGCTAACAAATGAGCGCTTTTATTTGCGAGTTGAGTTAGAAAAAAAATGATTCGTAATATGGCTCGTGTAAATAAAAAGTGTGTTTGAAAAGTTGACATGTTCAAAATATATATGTTGTTGACGAAATTACAGTGCTGACTAAACTATTCAAATGATTTTGTTAGAAGTGGTTAACCTGGAAAAATTCTATATCCCGTCTTCATTGAGCTTGCCACAACTGAACGCGTAAGAATTAAAAACCGAAATTATCTTACCACTCTTGGCTTGAATGTGTTCGAACAGCTGAGTGATAGCACCACTCCTAAGTCCCTCCAGCAGCAACAGGTGAAATTTGCCATCCAGTACATGCACCCCAGTTATGACGTCACACTCCCCACTTGTCTTCTGCTCACTAAACATGACACAATAGATACACACTCAATTTCAACTCAGCCACCCAAGTCAAATCAGCTCCATTGCAATGACACCTCCATCTTCGAGAAAAACAAGTCGGGGACGAGAACTATTGACTCGTGTTTCATTTCTCTTTTTATTTTAACCCCACATTACCTAGGCATCAGTTTTATGATGTAACCATTAGCTTTACACAGTACTCAGTGCCGAAATATATTTAAAAAATCCTTGCAATCGGGCATTGTCTACAAAAGTATGAACAATAAATTTCAAACGTTGAGAAGAGGGGGCCGAAGTCAGAAAAGGAGCCTGCATGCACAGTATATGTTTTAAAAGAAAGACTGAGTGTGAAATGTTACGAACTCGGATAGTCTGTATGTTTTGAGTGCGGCTGGGATGGACTGTTCCGGAAGGTAGTTCAGCTGCAGTGCCTCTGAGTTGATCAGTCTGATCTTGGAGAAAACCTTGTGCAGACTGTTCTGTTCACTATGCTCACAGTACACCACTAGGCGCGAAAATGGACACTGAAACATAACAATATCATCTGCAGTTAATGCCAATTGTTAGCAACGAATCTGAATGAAGTTGATCAAGCTAAAACTGCTCATTGTTGACTGCACTCATTTCTATTATAATCCACTCTTTTCAACACGTAAACACAACGTGTCAAAAAACAAACTAACCTGAAAAGCACTCTTTTGAACAGTTAAAGTTGCAAGCTTACCGATGCTTCCCTCAATTTGATATAATCTATAATATAAATCCTTTGTCATCCCTATCCCTATATATCAATTTTTTCAAAAAATTGATCTGCACTCCCGCTCTGCAATGTCCGATCACTTGAAATCACGAAGACGCTAAGCCAAAAATTCGTGCTATCATTAGTTGACTTCATTTTTAAAATTTAATTTAAGTGTCTTTTGTTTAACGAATGCTTCGTCGACAAACTGAAATATGCTGATTTATCGAAAAAAAAATAAACTAACGAAATAAACCTAATTTTCGAACGATCAGTGCACTTATTACCAATACAACCTTTGGAAATTACCAAAACGGGGAGCCTCAATGTACCTTCCCGATAACTTTGGGTTATATAACCTACTGATTTGGGATTGTAATCCTAGCAAGTGAGAAAATACACGTACTCAAGTAGAATAGAAATTTCAAGTTCCAGTAATACTTAAGCTGATAAAAGAACGCACAGTGAAGATCAACTGAATTCGCTTTCCTGTAACGACATAAGTATTGACTTCTTTATAAAGGGAAGCATTGTCATTTCAGTTTCTTCACAGGCAGATATTATTGCTCTTTCATGAAATAGAGCACTTTAAGCTCACATTTTCCATGATTTCATATTAACTATTCATGATTTCATTATTTTTTATACTGAGGCGAAGCGGAGCTTCGCACAACTTGGCGACACAAAACAAAAAAAACAAATAAAAAATTATTATTAGAAAAGCCGCAAATACGTCCCATATATCAAGTTTTCAAGACGAACCACCTACGATCTATTTAAAACACAAGCAAAACAATCATTTATGAGAAAATTAAAAACCGGATTACTTGAGATTCAAAAATCCACACCCATTTTTCTTGCCCCTCGATTACTCACAACAATACAGGAACAAATCAACATTGCATGAACCAGAAGAAAAGTTGGAACATGGCCGAAAAAAAAGAGCGATAACGCAACAACTAATCTCAAGCATAAGGAGAGAACTTCAAACATCAAACTATAAATGGCGATCAAAATTTACCAAATTGCTGTTGACAACTCCTTTTTTAATTTCCTTCCTAGTCGCTATTCTTGGAAGGCATTCAGCGCTTCGCTCTAATACAAGCAACCTTGCATGTCTTTCAGCAAGACGACTCACAACTGGCATGCTGCAAATCTTTTAGCTACACTGTTGACTTAAGTCAAAAATTTTCTGCCAAAGAAGGTTCAAAATTTTCATTTCCCATTTTCCAGTACTAATTTTAGAGGTTATTCATATGTTGAATTCAATATTTGGTGACCGCTCTTTAGCATAAAGCTCGACTAGCATAAAAATGTGGAAACATGAAAATGAATAGACTAGCTTAATTTTGAAAGCTTTTTTCTCAGAAATACAAAACAAGAAGAATCCTTTCAAATTGAAACTTGCATTTTTGCGAAATAGAAAAATGACAAACTAAGTTATCAAACAGCAAATTAAATTCCTTCTCACATAAATTCTGATCAGTTGTACCCCGTCGTAAAAAATCCTTTTTTAAGAAATCCCTTTTTTAAGAAATCCTTATTAACGCCTATTTTGGCTTGTTTTTCCGAAAATCCGCCACCTTCCCCTCTCGATACGATTTTCAATTTTGAAACTTTTATGCTAGACGAGCTTTATGCTAGTCGATACAGCGCCGAATATTTTGATAAGGAAACTTCTTCAACTATGCGATTACGGAAAAGAGATCAAACAAATAAAAGGCTTTTTTGCATTATTCCTAAGGGTTGAAATGTTCACTTGCGATAAACAATAACAAATGCTTATTTCATCATTGAGTTCAGTGACACTTAAAATGAAGGAATGAAATGAACATTCAAATTCAAGGGTCCATTTCTTCAGCGTTCCCCTGGATTTTCTTTCATTTTTACTGCCATTATCTACTCTTTTATTATATACAACTGTAACAACAGGCGTGCATGTTTAACACTTCAGTTAACAAAATAAGCAACGCGATTTTTTTTCTCTTATTTAAGCTTCTAATACTGCTTTGAAATGAGAACCATAAACAGAGGTTTGCTGTGGCTTCTCACAAACTCAGTCTTTTACGCACTCGCAAGTTTGGGATTCGTTCGATCCGGCTTGAACACATCTTTGCTCACAACTTGGTTCGGTCTTTTGGGATCAATAACCGCGATTGGAATCTTATTTACCGAGAACAATTTCCGCATAATCCAACATGGAAAAGACAAAAGGCTATACTTTTGCTTTCTGAACACTTTTATTTTCGGAGGATCTGCATTTGGATGTCATTTCTTGTCCCTTCGTTACATTCTACCTTCAGACTCGATGCTCATAAATGCCTTCTTCTGTCTGTGTTCTTCTGTGGTCGCCGAGACCGTCCGAGAGCGCAAGTGTCCCACGCTACTATCCGTCGCCTCGGTGCTGTCGGGTGTCATCGGCACTGGCCTCATATGCAATCCACAGGCTCTCTTCTCCCTCGACATTCTTCAGATGAAAAGTCTACTTGGCGTCTCTCTAGCACTATTTTCCGGAATATTTTTCGTCCTCATGATTTCCAGAATTCGAAACTTTTCCCAGTTCCCAGTAAGCTGGTATTTTTTGGGCTACATGACTGGATCCACAGTCGCTGGCCTCTTTACGTACAGACCATTCTCGGAAGTAATTCTCTGTGCTCTTCACTTGAAGCTCATTGCGTTAGCTGCTATTTTCTGCCAAATATTTGCTGCATTTAGTATTGTTCGCGGAACATCAGACGTCACAGTTTCAGGAACATTCGTCATTCAAACTTCATCTTCGGTTTTCACGTTTATAGCTCAGATTATTCTTTTTCCAGGCCGCATTACTATTTTGGCTACTTTGGGAACAGGCTTCATAGTTGCTTCGGTGCTTACTCAAGTAGGTGTTTTGATGCTGAGAGACCAAAAAATGAGACAGATGTCGATAGAACAAATTCAGAACTGATGAAAAAACATTGAACTTGAAATCTAATAACTAGAACACGTTTCTCCCAAACCCGAACAATGAAGCGCATTCAAAACGTCCAGCGGTCGACCTTTCAATTGAATAAACTATTTAATCAATGAAGTACAAATTTTAGAATTATAAACTGTTCTTTTGTTCATGTTTTGCTAACCATAATCAAAGAATCAGTAGAATTACGTTAAGCAAAATGAAACTTAATAGCTTGAATAGCTTGTATCTTTCAATTTTTACGTTGAAGTTTAACGCTGTTCGTGGAAATGACATTGTAGTAAATTCAACAGCAGAGCTAAATTGGTCTTCAACAATTTTCATGATTCCAGTTGCCCTTCCTTACAACCACTTTTGGGATGTTTGCAGGACAAAGAGCAGCTATTACTGTTTAGTCTCGTTCGAAGTCCAAACCGGGCTAAGCAACCCGGCATTTGAACTCCGGATGGGTAACAACTTAAATCCTTTAGGCGAAATTTCGAATCGACAAAAGCGGCTGAAAAAATTTGCTGTGGAAGAATGCGATAGTGCATTCCGTGCAGCTTTCCAGTTGCATAACTATTACGTACTACGAGAGGATTGTTGCCAAGGTCAATGTATCTACTATTTCAGCTACGGCTTCAAGGAAGCTTTAATAACACCAACTGAATATTTCGCAAAAATTACCGACTATTCTGAAGAGAACAAGCATCTTAACTACCTTTTATCGTATTACGATTGCGAATGTGAGGTTAACATTATCACAAAAATTGGGTTTGGCTCAGGATCTCTGAAGCATGAGCAGCAGAGAAGCGACATGCACGAGGAGCCACAAGGAAAACCATATCAACTAAAGGTCGGCCAAGGCTGGAGTCCAAAAATCCCATATGACAACCCAGGCTATTTTCTCACCTTTCGTTGGTTTAAACATTATGTTATGTGTCCTGATCAACCATGGATTTGTCGAGAACCGAATCAAAGTTCAAATACAAATTGGTGGACTCGATTTTTCAATTTTACAGCCTAAATTTCTAAACTCAAAACAAAAATTGACTTGAAGAAGCATGAAGGACAGTCGATTCAAAAAAGTCCGATAGAAAATCAAGTCCAACAGAAAATATTTTTCTGAGCGCCATCTCAGATTTTCTCGCAAAACAAAAACAAGCACGAAGAAATTAAAAAGCCTAAGATTTCGATCTCACGTTACACCAGGGGCGGATTTACGGGGAGGGGGTCAGATTTTTGACTCCCTGCCGACCCAAAGGATCCCCCCTTTCTACTATATTGAGATATTCATTTTTGGTGACGGACCCTTAAAATTTTCTTTGGCGCTGAAACTTTGGCCAAAACAGGGTCTTTTTAGTGCATTGGAAGAGCTCGGAAAATCAATCTAGTCGACCTAAAAAAAGGGTCGCCAAAAATTTGGACAATTTTTTGAAAATCCCCCCTCGAGAAAATCCTAGATCCGCCCCTGCGTTAAACGATTTCACGTTTTTCGAACGAACGCCAGAATATACGAAAGTTAATTATTTCATCAACTGGACGTTCCTATGTCAAATCTGATTGTTTCAATTTCATTTTCTTTACACAGAGGCGAAGATGCATTTTGCATACACATGCCAAAAAGTTATGATCTATGCATATCATCGTGGTTGTTAAATTGCTCCAACTGAATTTAAAACAGATTCATTAAAATGCTTGCAACGATATTTTATTCCCGTTTTTTTATTCCATTGAAATTAATAGTATTATCTTTGACTGATTGTGATGTGCTCAGGGATACCACATTCAAAAATTATTGTCAAAATCAATTTCGTGAGTTAGATCATAAGCTCCTGCCAACATCAGCAGTC